ATCTTTTAGGGATATCCCATGTATAGTTGGAAAAAGAGAATACAGGGAAATAAGTGTCTTGGCACAGAGGTAATACACAATTTCCTCTCACATACAATCGGAGAAAACTAGTGACACAGCTACACCTTGGTGCAAGAGGGTCTGGGGAATGTAATCTCTAATTGGACAGATGCTTCCCAGTGACGTCTTCATACTAGGAAGGGGAAGCACTGAATTTTAGTGCAGAGATGATATTTCTGGCATATCAAGTGACATGTTTAGCTTATTAACACTTCCAGCCCATGTGTGTGATAGCCAGAACAGAGAGACAGTGAGAGCTGCTTCTTTAAGGAGAGGAAGCTGATAGTTTCATGATCCTGGCTTCTGTTGAGTTCCTGTCAACAGAATGGACCACAGAGAAAGGGAAATAGCCAGAGACAGAGCAAGATGCATTTCCACTGACATGAAAAAAATAAGACCTTGTGGGTCAAAGTGAATTCAACTCCATAGAAGGAAGGTGAGCTTGGGCTGATTTGAAGGGCTAGCTCCCAATACATTCTGATAGGGTGAGAAGACCCCAAGAAAAAGAGGCTACATAGGCAAGATAGAGAAGAGAGAAGGTACCTATTTAGTCACCTGGAGAAGATCAACCAGCACAATTAAGTAAATGGCTTTTTTTCTGTTACCTGTCATCCTGCCTCATCCTGCGACCTGAAAGAGCCATATTAGTACCATGATCTATGAGGAAAGGAAGTTGGAGCAAGGGATTGGAAAGAACAAGGCTGTGTTTATCTTCGCCTGAGGGTGAGGATGGGGTGCCAAGGAGGGAGAGTCAGGACAAGCCTTCAGCTGCATGTGAGATGAAAGTGCTGATTGATTTTGGGTTTCTGTAAATACCTCAAAATGAGACTCTTCTAGCACTGGGAACCCTCCTGATATAACAACAGGGGGTGAAGAAAGACAGATCCTTCACTGATCTCAACTTACCAGATTACACTCCACCAAGTTTAGTTCATTGGCTACACCTGTTATGGTGACAATAGATGACTGAGATAATTTAGACAGTGATAATTCTATGAACAAAGATAGTCCAGAGTGATACAGAAGGGGGCTTGAAACTGGAGCAGTGCACCTGGCTAGAGATACTAGCAAGCAAAAAGACTAGAGGGCAAAAGCCCTCCAGGCAAAATGAGCTTGTTGGGAAGGGACCCAGCAGGAAGGAGCCCAGGCAGTCCAGGAGCAGAGAAGAGGTTTGAGAGGCTGGAGTTCAGACAGAAAAACTTGGGCTTGGTGACTTGCGATCAGAGGTGCTGGCAGGGCCAGATCTTGTAGGGTTTTAAGGCAAGAGGAGAGATTTTAGTCTACTTGCAGTTTAGCCATTAGGGTATATAAAGAAGGCAATGAATAATCTGATGTAATTTATGTTTTTAAACCTCTCAAAATGTTCCTTCTATTGTAAGAAAATAAATATATAAATTATATGTAAACACTAAAAATATTTGGTATTTATTTTAAAATGTAGATAGATATCCAAATTTCCTCTGGAAATATTTATAACTTGCAAAATTCAGTAAACTTATTTATACAGATTTTAAAATACTGTTCCAATCTGATATGAACATTTTCATTCTTTCATTATTCTAAATTCCAGGATCTTGGGAATGCCCTTCCTGTTTTAAAATTGTTACTTATTTCACAGGATTAAATATGCAAAAGTTAGTCCTTTTATTGATTCAAAGGAACCTGAGAAATACAAACAATTTATTTAAGCAGCCAGCATGTTGGCATAATAGTTCTTAAGTACAAGCAAGAGAAAAATATAGGATATCTTATAAAGGGTTGTTATTCATCATTGAATCTATAAGTTCATTTGGTGATGAAAGACAGCTTTAGAGGTCATCATGTGCAGTGACTACTATTTTACTTGAATTTCAAAAAAGTAAAGAACAGTCAAAACTGATTTATGTTTAAATCTAAACAAAAATTTACCTTAAAAGCCTGCTCATCAGATTGTTATTTGGAATATGGATACTAGCCAAATGTTTCAATCTTTTTTATACATATAATATTCACAGAAAATAAGCTGACTTTATACTTCTTGTTGAGTATGAGCTATTTATCATAAAATGGAACAGGGAGGTGGCATGACATCTTAAACAATGAGATAGTTAATCAATTTTGTAGATGTAATTTTATCTGTTTTATTTTTATGTTATTTGCTCAAAATGGTTATGCTTTTTGGAATTATGTAGATAACATAAAGGAGATATTCTAGGAAAAAACTTATAAATTTTAATCATTTCATAAACTGATGGATGACAAAAAATTATCCTTTTTAACTTACTAAAATATAACAAATACTTAATATAGACTTAAGAAGTATTGATATTTAAAATACTAATCTTACCTAAAATATTTTGACAATATTTTGGCAGGAGGGTATCTAATATACATATTATCCATGTATTTACTAACATTATTTTAAAGGTGTCATTTGGGGATTTTTATCTATTTGAACTTGGAAGAAAATAATATTCAGACCATAATGAAATTTAGAAATTATTTTTATAACATTCTAGTTAAATTTGAAATATTTCCTATAGTCCTAGAAATACAGCACAGTTAACTGGAAGGTTAAAGCTTTTATCTATACTGAAACATTCATTTCTATTGAGTCTTCTTATTATCAAGACTCTAGAGAATTAGATTGCAGGGATTTTCAAGAGATTGCAGTACTGGTAGCGCTGAGCATTTGCTGATTGCTGACTGAAAGACTGCTCTCTGAAGGATTTTGAGGATGTTTTCAGATCTACTAGATAAGAGTAAATTGATTGGTGGTGATATTTGCCCTGGAAGTGGCAAGGATGCCAAGAAGCAGCTGTGACGTAAGTTCCCCATAGTTGCAATCCTCATTTCCTACTCTTAAATTCAACCAACCTTAGAATGTTATGTCACTTTCTTAACATGAGGGCACACTCCTGTAAGAAAGGCTATAGTTCACAGAGAAATTTTGTTTTATTTTGTGTTCAAGGCTTATAGGTGATGATAAGACATAAAGCAGTTCTAGTTGGATCAGTGTCTAATATCTAAAGGGTAGGTCTTAACATGTGAAAGGGTCAAAACTGGCATTATTTTTAAGAAATAGAATAGAATAAATGACAATAGAAAGTATCAGAACTTCACATACTGTAAGAGCAGGGATTGGTTTGTGACACTTTTAATGTGTATATGTGGACCAGATAGTGATGTAAAATTAATTATTCTAGGTTGTGGTTTAAATATTTTGAAAATCAGTGGTTTAGAGCCTATCACTTTTATTTCTGTGAAGAATCTATAGCATTTTCTTAAAAAGACACTTACCTTCTCTGAAAAATAACTGATTAGTAGACCAGGAAAAATGTCTAGGCCAACATGTTTCATTTCAATTTTCTGTCTTAAGCCCTGGGCAATATTTCTAGATTAATATATGGTTGATGTTATTTGTTACACAGTCATATTCTTTTGCTTTAGTCACTGATTGGTGTGACCACTGGAAAATTCTTTGTAGGCCAAGTCCTATACCAGCTTTATAAAATATTCCAGGTTGCCTAAGAAATTAGTCATTGTTCAGTATTTTACATTTTATGTTTTTATTTTTCATTTGTGTAATTATGAATGTAAAATATTTTGTTTCAGAAATTTAAATGACTATTTACCTCAATAACTAATGAGTCTGGTATCTCCTAAAACTATTGTAGATGGCTATATTCCAATGCATTTATATTTAAAATGTATTCCTAATAAATGATATCTGCTCTTGTAATGTAATTGTTAACCTATATATATCTTCAATTTTCATCTTTTCTCACGAGATGCTGTTCACCACACCAACTATTGTTTATATTCCTCGAAAATGTGGCATCTCCCCACTCATTTATTTATTACAGAAATGATGAAGCAAATGTTCTATGAACTAGGTCCTCTGAAACAGCCATGGACAAAGAAAACTGTTATGTCCTTCTTGCAAATGTGTCGCACCAACTTAGTATTAAAGTTTTTCATCACTACTGTAATATGATTGCTAAATTTCAGAATAGCTTCATGTCCTAAAGTGTATCCATCACCAAGATTGACTTATGACTGAAATAAATATTCAGTATTCTCCATTTCTTTAGGTTAAGACATTTAGTCAACTGTTAAAATTGAGCTATATCCTGTCTATTAATGATCATTACTACATTTGCTTCAGTTAAAGGCTTTTGATATAGTGGAGATTCTGGTTATAATGGGATGAAACAAAAGTTATTAATCAGGTTGAGTCAGGATGAGAATCAGGAAGTGTTTTGGAACTTGGAAGAGTGCCTTCCAGGACTAAATGTATGTAACCAGGGTAGCAGGGCAAAACTAAACAAAAACAAAAACAAAAAAACAAGAACAGAAGGCAGAAATCTAAACAGAAAGGTAGATTTCTTAATTTGACTTCTTAATTGAGGCTATCTCCACTACTTACTGCTAATGTACAAGTTCTACTTAAGGTATATTTTCTAGATCATCATCAGTATCATGTGGGAACCTTCAAGAAATATAAAATTCAGACCCCATCCAATATCTGTCAAATTAGAATCTCTTGTACAGCAAGAGAGGGTAGGCAAGAAGTTGTATTTTAGCAAATTATTAGGTAACTTTTATGTGTGATAAAGTTTGGCTACCATCGCTTTTAATAAGCACCCAAAAATAGTAAGAATGGTACTTACATTAAAAACGTATTTTAAATGTAATTTACTAATAGTTTTCATTCCATTTGGTTACATGGATCTCTGTGCAGTATTTGCTGTCGAAAAAATAAATTCTCATTTACCAAGACTAATCAAGTGAAATATATAAGGGAATAAAAGCTGGAGATATATATTTAATAGTGGATCAAGGAAAAATAAAACAATTGGCCTTATACTATATTATAATTTTCTTTATATTTTCTTCTATAGGACAGTGACTCAATGCTGACACTAAAAGCTGATTATGTATTTGTTCTATAATTCTAGAACACCATTTGCCTTGAAATACCACTGACCAATCCGAAAAATGAAGTCATGCACTTAGAGCCACAATTTACATGTGAAGAACTTAGTGGATACCAGAAAGTTACACTGAATCCACTCGAATGTACTAGTTATGTCATAAGATATTCTCCGGCAACCACAGGCTATAAAAATGAAAGGTATGATTTGGGAGTGGCATTAATTTTTATTGTTGATCTTTAGAAATTAAGGTTTTAAAATTATTTTTGTCTTTTGCTATAATAATTAAAATTGCAGTTTCTCAATGTTTTAGCTTTTTAAAATACTATTCCCTTATACAATATACCAATTTAGAGTTAGCTTTTGTTTGATGCAATGCAAAAACATTCATTTTTATATCAGATTAAATAATTTCTAAATTTCTCCCTTGAACCTTCTCTTTTACTTTACTTGTGACTAACCAAATCATTAGGGGTACAACACCCAAACCAAATAAAAACGATCAGAGAGACTAGGGATTAAGCTTCCAGTGAGAAGCTTGAGACTAAAGATTAAGCTTCCAGTTTCCTCAATGAAAATTAATTTATGTGGTTTTGATTCTCAGTTAGATGCAAATTATTCACTTGAAGGACATAGAGAAAATTAAAGATGTTATACTATCTTGGAAAAACACACACACATAAATATTAACAGGGTAATGACAAGTGTTCCTATATAATCACTGTGAAAACCTTTTTTGTGTTATGTGTTCATATACATGCCCATGTGAAAACATAGCCTCTGTGTTTGTAATTAACTCACTAACTTATTAAAATAATCTACTTCATATCCAAAGTAACAGTCAATTTATTTATTACACTTTTAGAGACAATAATTGACTTGGTATTTGCATGTACAATGCATTCCATTATTATACTCTGTGCAAAGGCCCTTTGCTAATTTATATGCTATTTCAGAGTTAGGATCTTTCTCTTTTGATTAAGTAATTTATTTTAACAGACAAATAAAATTGTATCTTCGATTTATCATATGTAACATGATGTTTTTAAATCTATACCTTGCAGAATAGCTAAATAAAATTAATATATGTTTTATCTCATGTACTTATTAGTTATTGTGGTGAGAACACTTAAAACTCTCTTAGAGATGTTCAATTTACAATACATGATTGTTAACTATAGAAACCATGTCCTGAGATAAATTTCTTAAATTTACTCCTCCACTAACTAAAATTTTGTATCCATTGGCCAACCTCCCACAGTCTCTGCCACTTTCTTCCACCACCTCTTCTAGTCCCTGATAAACCATCATTCTTCTTTCTGCTTCTGAGTTTATCATTTTTAGATTCCACATATAAGTGAGGTCATGTGGTATTTGACTTTCTGTGCCTGGCTTATTTCACTTAGCAGGATGTCTTTTAGAATTACTCTTATTCCTGCTTCTAGCACAGTATCCTATAATAGAAACCAAGTAATTGTTATTTTAATGAATAGTTGAATAAATGAATATATCCATGAAATTTTAAAGAATAAACATATTATAATGTGAAGCATGAAAATAAGAACATAGCATGTTATAAAAGACATCATTTGGATAGATTATCATTAGAAATGTGGGCTGGTCTCCTGACCCCAATGTAACTGTGCAGGCTTTGTAAGCACAGACTGAATCTTCAATATTCCTTATCAGCATACATTAAAAATCATAACCTCAGTTAATACTTGACTGCCTACTTTGTTATCATTGGGGCATGGATTTTACATGAATGAACACATAAAATTCTCACAGCAACTGTAAGAGGTAGGACTAGTTTCTCCTATTTTATAAATGAGGAATTGGAAGGCCCCCAAATTAAGCAACTTGCTCAATACTGCACAAATAAAAGATAACAGAGTTAAGATACAAGCCTAGTTATACTTTTAGACTACCACAACCTCTGTCCTCCTCAAAGCTGAAAACATCCTAATTATAAAGAAAGCTCACCAGAACTGCATGCCGCTTAATAGCCTTCACATTGAAAACACATGCCTTCAACTCAACAAACTAAATTTGGCTTAATCTCAATTAAAAAGCAGGACTTTTCCTACTAGACATTTAAAATACTCATGTTTAAACATTTCTCATTGGTTAAGCAAGCATTTTCTCTAAGGATATTAATGACAACAACACTGTTTTCTTGAGTAACGAAGTGATTTTTCTCATGCAAAAATGAAAACTTTAAAAATCTATCTTTAAAAAGAAAATCTATCTTTAATAAGAGAACGTGTCACAGAGAGCTGTCGAATTGTTGAAATCAATTATTTATGTCAATCTGAGATATATTTTTTCAGCCAATTTATTATATAAATTAATACTAATGACAAGATTTTTTATTTTTCTCTCCAACAGTATTATTTTTCAACCTGAAGCAGATGAAGAATTCTGGTATTTACTCAAATTAACTGTTGATGTACCAAAACCAACCATATTGCCAGAATTAAAGTGTGACCTTGGAAAGTAAGTTCCACTAGTAGATAAAATAATTTTATGCAAGAAAAAAATTCTATAACAGTATTTTTATAATGCATTTAAAGTTTTTAAAATGAGAAATACAGCCCGGACCCGCCAAACAACAATGACTGCTGCAACCAAAAAATAGCCGGGCATTGTGGCGGGCGCCTGTGGTCCCAGCTACTTGGGAGGCGGAGGCAGGAGACTCGCTTGAGCCCAGGAGTTGGAGGTTGCTGTGAGCTGTAATGCCACGGCACTCTACCCAGGGGGACAGCTTGAGGCTCTGTCTCAAAAAAAAAAAAAATGAGAAATAAATGTATTTATTTACCAAATGTATTTCTCATTTTAAATATATTTCTAGTAATTGAAATTGAATTGCATAGAAGTTTCTATATGTAAACTACCCTGTGGAAAACTTGTCAAAGTAAAACAAATCAGGACTTATTTAACAAAGAGGCTTTGGGGGCCACACTTGTGGCTCAATGAGTAGGGCACTGGCCCCATTACCAAGGGTGGCTGGTTCAAACCCATCCCTGGCCAAATTGCAAAAAAAAAAAAAAAAAAAAAAAGAGAGAGAGACTTTTATTCAAATGGAGAGAAAGGGATCATTGCAGTAGTGAGAATGCTCCCATCTCAGAAATCTACAAGGGTCACAAAATAAAACAGAAAAAAAAGTTTTTCTTTTATGTACATCTAAGGTAAAAGCAGGGTAGGGAAGGCCAAGCAGATATAAACAGAATCTTGGGAGGGAAAGCTCAGCAAGCAAAGGAAAATGACTAGTGGAGTCTAACAGGAGAAGGGTCTCCTTCTGCTTACCACTTTGGGAAATTATTATGTATTTTCTGCAAATTATATTTGAAATTGTTAATTACTCTTTTAATTATTATATATTTATTTCAATTTCTATGGAAGATAAAGTACCAAGAAACTTTGTGAGTGGAGATGAAAGCAAAAGTTCTAATAGTAAGAATATGTAAGATAATGATACAGGGTTTCCCGGTTCAGGGCTGGACAAGGACCTCCTTTTCTAGGCCTGGGTGAGCGCAGAGATCAGTCTCATCATAGACTCTCATATCTCTGCACAAACAGACCATTTCCAGGCCTCATTCTCTGGACTCAAGTAAAGTCATGAAAAAAAGCAGCCTTATTGTTATGTCATCTGGGGGGGGACCTCCTTGAGTAGGGAAGTAGTACCATAGGGCAAGGACTGCAAGGACCCAATTCCTTTCCTAATTTTAGGATTATTTTCTCCCTACAGGCCTCTGGCCAATTGTGACATTTTCTAGACATACATTCTCAAAAGACCTTGTCTACAGGATAGAAAATGCAGTACATAAACCCTTAGACCAGTGTTTTTCAACTTTTTTATCTCACGGCACACTTGAACCCATGGTTGAACTTCCACTGCACACTTACATTGATTAAAAAAAGAGAGAGAGAGAGTAAAAAAAAAAAAAAAAAGCATACTTACTGTGCCTTTAACTTCATTCAAAAATTTTTATTAATGATTGTTAAAAATTTTCGAGGTGCACCCAAGATCCTCTCAGGGCACACTGCGGCACACAACTTGAAAATCACTGCCCTAGACAGAAGGCCCACATGGGCTACCCACTTGGGATCCCCCCTGTTGCCAGAGGTTCTGTTCCCCCTCTTTTCCTTATCTATTTCTTTACGTATCAATAAACTATGCCTGTTAGCTTACTCGCATGGTTCATGGATCCATTCTTTGAACCCCAAGATCAAAGACCCCACACAGAGAAATGCCAATAATATACTCATATATTACCTAACGCAAGTTTGTCTTGAAAATACTGTGTTTTGACTCCTTAGGATTTGAATACTGAAGAGCCTGTCAAAAATTAGCATCTTAAGAGCTAAGAAAATGTCTTTAATTTTCTCAGTTTTTGCTCTCTTGCCATGTGGGAACGATTTTGATTTTACTTCTATATGGCAAATGAGTTTCATTGCTTAATCAACACTGGGAAAGTGAAAGACAGACAGAGACACAGAGACTATTTAAAAAGCAGTATGCCAAATCACAGATGTTAAAAAAACATATTTGCTGAAAATAAGGATAAATGGAGTTAGTGCCTCATCACATAAAATAATCTAACCTTCCTGCATGAAATTTAAATGCTGATTATATTTGAATTCAATTTCATAGATGAACATAACATTTTATAGAGATAATAAACTGAATTTAGTGAATCACAAGCAATTTCCCTTTACTCCCATTTAAAATTTTTATAGCAATTGTATGAGCCACATGTTCAACCCTGTAAATATAAACAGGAAAATGGGTCACCTACATATTAATATATTTTATGCATCATTTATTAATAACTAAATTTAAGGAATGTACTTGCAACTTGATTATCTAAACAATTGCAAGGGTGTCAGACATAAATGCTTTGCAATTTCAATTAATCACAAGCTGTGTTTGAACCAATTTAGTTTAAAAAAAGAGTTGAAATCTTGGGGTTCTCAATTGAAATATAAATCATTAAATGTAGCTAAAACTCACAGAGTTTTTCATCAGATACGTGCATCAAATTTGCTTCTCAAGATATATGGACAGTTTTAAATTAACAATAGCATAGAAATCTAGTATAAAAATATTTTATTCATATTTTTCTATGGTATTGCCTATGAGAAAACTTGGGAAATTGGCGTTTTGCATAATATACAAAGCAGATGCTTACTGAAAAATGACAGGACGTCTAGGAAGTCTGTCGTGATTTTTAATGCATTTTATTCATTACAGTTAATGAAATTTAGGTTATTTTCCTCAATTTCTTTTTTCATGTGTCCTTGGTGAAAAAACAAATTCATTATTGCACAGTGTTGTTTAGTCTATTATCTAGAATTATAAAACTGATATATAATATTCTCTTTACTGTAAGGTGGATCACTGTGTATATATATTTTGTATTAATACTAAAGAAAACAATTCTTTATTTGAATTACACAATTTGTATCAATAAACTGAATTCTGTTCAGCACACTCTAGTAATTGTCCTCTGTAACAGGGCCATTACATTGTGAAAATTAATAATATATGTGTAGCAATGATTTAATTGTTTTGATTACAGACTTGATACCTAAATATTTTAATCTTAATTATTTTGGATTGTAAACTTGAGACAATAAAGTGAGCAATAAGAAAAATGGTAAGTAGATAAAATTATTGTATTACAATGTCATACCTCAACGTTACAGAAAGAGGATACATTACAGAAAGAAGATGACAATTTGGAGGTTGTAGCATCAAACCCATTAGAAATGATGATTGATTGACAATTAAGAACCCTTTTGATTACTTTTTGCTTTGAGCATAAACAGCAGCCACATTTTTTTGTCATTTACTCATCAATCTGGATCTTGTTAATGTTATGGATGAAAACTTTGTGAATTAATGGATCTGTTATTACTTTTAGACTATGTTAACTTTTGGGGATAGATTTGGTTGTTATAAAACAATTAGTAAACATGTCTCTTAAATTGGAATATATTCTAATATCCAATATAGAATAATATTTTGTCTCAAAAATAAAATAGAAAATCAAGGATTGTTTAATTTAGCAATTTGTCATTAATTTGTACATGTTTATTGTTATTATTAAATTCACAATATTATAGTGAACAGAATAAAGTGGGTCACTTGAGACAAAATAAGTTTACTATTTAAGTTCTGAAGGCTAGATGTCCAAAATCAAGGTGCCAGCAGAATCATGTTCCCTCTGAAACCTGTAAGGGAAGATTCCTTCCTGCCTCTTTTAGCTTCTGGTGCTTGCCAGCAAGCATTGGCTTTCTTTTACTTGTAGCTCTCTCACTTCAATCTCTACTTCCTTAGTCCTAAGACAGCTTCTTGTTGTGTCTGCACGTGGTCTTATAACGATTCCAGTCATATTGGATGAAGGTCTCACCTGATTCCAGTAAGACCTCATCTTAAGTAATTATATGTGCAGTGACACTTTCTTCAGATAATATCACTTCGGAGCTACTGAAAGTTTAGACTTCAACATATCTTTTAGAGCAACAGATGTCAATCATGATGGTCATCAAATTTATGGAATTCTCATTGAACACATTTGTGAATACCACTAACTTGACAAACTTTATTTTTTCTCCCAGATATGTTTCTCAGATCATTCCTTTGGTGAATCCCACACATGAAACACTGGAATTGAAAGAAACAAATGACAATCCTGAAAATTTTGTCATGGATTCTGGAAGACCATCACCTGTAAGTATATTCAGAATGCTGTGAATTCTACTGCTCTTAGATTATTTTCCAACTCTGATTTTGGGACACTAGTGGAGTAGGTATCATTTAAACTATTAGTAAGGATTCAAATTCCTAAAATTTAAATACATAATTTTCCATTCTATATAATTCCTCCTGAATTTTAATTTATCAATAAAAAATATTTTCTTAATAGAAATTTTTGAAAATATATATGCTAGAGTCATGCTCATTATCAGTGTATTCTAAATAAGTTGGTTATGTTTTATTTCTGGCCATTTTAGTAATCAGTTTTGGTAATAGTTTTCAGTAATATGGTTTTTAACTTAACAGTGATTATATGTTTCCAGGATCCCAAGAGACCTGTTCTTTTCCTTCCTCCCTGAGTCCTTGCCCACTACCAACCTCCAGCTCCCACTTCTGTTTCACCCCTCTCACACACATGAATATAACCCTGATAGTTAATGCTCACAGCATTGCCCCTCTCTGTTCCTTTCTCTGCATGATTCTGTCACTGTTGGGTCCTGGCAGATGCTAGGACCAGTCAATAGGCCTGAAGCATTTTCCTCTTTCCCCCAAGTTGCAAAACAAGATCCTAAGGTTTGGCATGATTTGACTGTGTTTCCAGCACATAGAGAAGCAATTATTGATGCCAAACCACATACTTTCAGGTAAACTTCAAAATGATCATTATAATAGATTATTTTCACTAATGGCCCTCACAGTAAATCATGAAGTTCTGCTACTAGGTACAGAATTTAAATGAAAACTTTTTACTATTTCCATTTAATGATAATTTTTTAAAATCTATGCTTTTTTAAAAAAATTATATTTTAACATGTGTCTTTGTCAGTCATTGGTTGCCAAGTAATACCGTGATATAGAATTAGTTATTAACTGACATAATGTGTAAAATTAGAAATAACTACTAATTATTATATTGCTAAAATTGGTGTTTATGTTTTAATCTTACAAAGACTATACATACATGCTGTATCATTAACACCATTATTTTTCATAAATTATACACAGGATGATGTTCACGATATAGTTTACATATTGTGAAGGTTCCTCATTTAAAAAGTGGTGTTTTCACATACTTTTTACCTCTACATTTAGAGAAGAGTGTTATCTAAGGAAAAATAAACGGAATATGTTGTAGATACAATTTACACTACAAAATTAAGAATATGGACTCTTCTTTAATATATTCAAGCAAGGAATTTTAGTCTACTTATTTCTTTGTTCACTTAACAAACTTTATTGAGCACTAAATATGCACTTAATTGTAATACAGGGTTGCCAGAAAGTTCATGTGCTATTTGAAATTGCACATGAACTTTATAGACACCCTGTGTTAGGAAACAACTCAAACAGTTAATATATGAGAAAAATACTGTTATATATCATAAAGCAGTGGTTCTCAACCTGGGGGTCGTGACCCACAGGAATTGTATTAAAGGGCCACAGCATTAGGAAGATTGAGAACCACTGCTATAAAGGAAATAGGAACACACGTTAACAGTAATGATAATAAATGGAACATAGTATATATATATATTACTAAATAATATATAATAAATATGAGTATAGTAACATATGAATTTATACTTGTATATTATTGTGTATGTGTATATATACATGTACAAAATATATTAGTGACAAGTAATAAACTTTCTTTTTAGGCACATGTCACTCATTCAATCATTCTATAAGTGTTAATATTAAATATTATTACCAGTGTAGCTTTTTGATTATATAATATACTCAAGCCCTCATTGTATTGTGATAGAGTTCTTGGTTTCTTTCATACTCTCTAAAGAGGTGACCCAAACTAATACTGTAGAGACTCAAGTTATTTAGCGGGTCACAGCTTGTATGTGTATGTGATAGGATGAAGAGAAAAGCTGCATTGCACATTAAAGAAGGATGTCTTAAATTTATGCATAGAAACAGTTTATTTCTTTTTTTTATTGAATGGTAACTATGTACATTAATGCACTTCTGGGGTACAGTGTGGGGTTTTCACATGCAATCCGAAATACTTCCATCAAACTGGTCAACACAGCCTTCATGTCATTTTCTCAGTTATTATTTTAAAACGTTCACATTCTACTCTTAGAAAGATTCACTTG